ATACTTGTAGAATTATATTTTTTTAAAAATCATCGTTGATAATGTCTAAAAGAATAGCCAAAAGCGCTCGGACATAAAAAAAAAACAAAAGTGTTCGGGCAATTTTTACACACCTTATATCCAGAAAAGAAAAGAAAAACTTATACGGACACAAGAAAGCTTAAAGAAGCTTAAACGCAATAGTTTTCAGTTTCCTTTCATTGACATTCATATAATTATTTTCTGGTGTGTAGAAACTGTCCAATTGTTTTGTATGCCCGAGCGCTTTCGGCTATTCTTTTAGCAATTATAAATTGTTGTTTATTATTAAATTCTAATGAATGTATATATATTTTATAGCTAGCTATAGTTTTTTTTTTTTTTTTTTTTTTTTTTTGTAGCATATCTACCTGAATGGGTTATTTAATGCCGACAAAATTTCATTGCTGGTAATATTTTTTAAAAAATGTATTGCTGGTAATATTTTTTTTTTAAAATGCATTGCTGGTAATATTTTTTTTCTTCAAAAATATTTTGCTGGTAATATTTTTTCATCAAAAGCTGGTAATTTTTTTTCAAAAATATATTGCTGGTATTTTTTTCAATTATGTATTACCGATAACAATTTTTCTTCAAAAATTCATTGCTGGTAATAATTTTTACAAAAAGTATTTCTGGTATTAAAACCTATTTTATACATTCATAGTATTTTGACCCCAGTTTGGGTGTTATCTATTAGTTGGCAACCTAACAGGTGCTACTACCCCGAGTCAAGGTGAACCTGGGAACACAGCAATTAAGAGGTGTTCCACGCTCGTCAAAACATCCTGATCAGAGGCCTTGTTGTAGGACGTTGTTTATCGTCTTACCCAGGACACGGATATATATCGTCTTACCTAGGACACGGATATAGTTTATCGTCTAACCCACGTCGTGGATGCAGGTTTTCTTCATACCCAGGACGGCTAGAGATATGGGAATGTTTGTCAATTTGAATTCTCAGAGTAGGCCATTGAAAGCAAAAGTTGCATTTTTCTCCTTAGTAAATTACTTTTTCTAACCTAAACTAAAAGTATAATGCTGTGAATAAAGAAACGCATGAAAGAGAATTTTCTCTTTATCCGCTTGTTCAACAGTTGAGATATTTTATAACCATTATCCGCGTGTTACACCGTTGGGTGTCTCTGGTGTAGGTCGAGCTTATATATACACGCGCCTGTTTGTGTGCGCACGAGCATAGCTCTATCTATAAAAGGCAGGATGTGTGTGTATGTGTGTGTGTAACGAATGCACGGCCGCAATTTTCGACGGATTTGCACCAAAATTTACATGCACATGTTCCAAGTTAGTGGGAAGGACAAGACCGACTATGCATTTCCCAACTCCCATCGATAGTAGAAATAATCATGCTTCTACGGCAGTTTTCATGTAGCTTGCGGCCATTTTCTACTGGCCAGAGTGAGAGCCTATAGCTGGCTGCCACAAATAGGTAGGAAGATTCTATTGGCCGGCGTGAGAGCCAGCAGCTGACTGACATGAATGTTAACTAGCATGCAAAAAAATCGATAGCTGCATTCGTCACATGTGGATAAAATTTAAATCTGCATGGCACTTTACCCCAATTGGCTCATTCGCTTGCTTAAACTCAACGTTGATTCTGATTCCGCAGAAATGGGTTGGGTGTGAAAAAGTATTTGTTGTTAACATTCTTTTTTCATTCGGTTTTTCCAGTTACGAGTTCTTTTTTTAAAGCTGATCGTTTTGTGTTCATTTTGGTTAGTTCTTTTTTCGTAACAGATTTAATGTTTAGTATAGAGCTTAGAAAAAATTCGCAGTGTGAGATAGGCAAGAAGTAAGACATGTAGCAACATCAGCACGGCAAAGGGCACTCCTTTAAAAGCAAGGAAGTGTAAAAATATTTTAAGTCAAGTGACAACGATTTTTTTTTAATCAAGCACGGGCAACGCCGGTCCAGGCTGCTAGTGTGTGTATAAATATATACACATATGTGTCTGTATATATATATATATAGTTACAACGTTCGCATTCTGACCATGGGAGCCGGGTTCGAATCTCACCATGGTCAATTTTTCGGGAAGCCATGAGACACGGGTTCGAATTTCACCATAGTCGATTTGACAGGAAAGAGACTTCCTGATGTTATCCGACTAGAGGGTCGATCTCAGCGGGCGGCACCTTTGGAAAGTGCCAGAAAAGTTGATCCAAGCCTTGTGAATTAAATTGGGTAGACGGAACTCTTGGGGGATGTCGATAGCTATGCTAGCACAAAGTCACAAGTCATCGTGACCTTGTTCAGATTGTTGATCACGCTAGATAACAAGCTAATTCACAGAAAGTGTGACCAAGGTCTGTTCAACATAGTTACAGCATAAACCACACGTGGGTTATGTGGGTGTTGAACAAACACAAAATGCGCTTTAGCAAGCGTCTGCAATAAAGATTGACTAGCCACCCTAGTAGACGGGTATCCTCGAATACGAGTGCCCAGCTATAGCTCTGTCTTTCTCTCTCTCTAACTCTCTCTCGCTCCCCCTGTCTCTCTCTCTCTCTCTATATATATATATATATATATATATATACATACACACACACACACATATATATATATATATTTATATGAGCAAAAATTACTATATATATATATATATATATGTGTGTGTGTGTGTGTGTGAAAAGTGTATATAAATATAAATAAATATATATATGTATAATCATTTATATACTATATGCGCGGTACTTATTAGAAAGCGCTCAATATCAGAGACAGAGCTAACATCTATCCAACCAAATATATATATATATATATATATATATATATATATATATATATATAGTTTTGCGCTTGTTGGTATCTTAGTATCTGCCATTGTGTACGTGATCTTCTTTGTTCCTGGATGTGCAAGCGCTTTCACGTGTTTGAGGTTGCTATCAATGTCTGGAACGTTTGCAGCCTTGCACACGTGGGAATTTTCTAATTTTCCCGTCTCTCAAACTTGTTACATTCTTTTCTTTTTTCCTTTTTTATCAAACAGGCTATTTTGTCGGTCCCGGTAAAATAGACACCATGGCTATTTTGCCGGTAAATATTGTGTTTGAGAAGTAAGAATATATTTAAAATCAAGCTCAGCGGTTGTGCGAGCTGCGTAGGCCGGACTTGAACAATATGGATTCTCTGGTTTGTGACAAGTGTATTAGCAAGAGAACCATGCCCAAGGGCAAATTTTAGATTTGTAGTGACTTTAATGCCTGAAGTGCTTAAAATATTCATGGACTTCTATATATTTTTTTAAATAATTTATGATAAATAAATGATTTTAACTTTTGATTTAACAGTTAATAGTGGAAAATATTTTAAACTGTCTTAGCAATTGATGGTGAAAGTAAATAAAATTTTGTGTTAAATCTATGTGTTGTTATTTTTAACATTACTTCACTTCATAATAATAAAATTTATTTACCGGCAAAATAACCTGGGTGTCTATTTTACCGAGACCGGTAAAATAAGCTTAAAAGCATGTTTGTCTATTTTACCGGGATCGGCTAAATAGCCTCTTCGTTTTTTGTTTTTTTTTAATCTTTCCTCCTACCCACCGCTTGACGTGACAGGCTGCGTGAATAAACAATGATTACTTATCGTCTACTTCCACGCTGTCCAAACAGAACACTCCACTCAAGGAATTACTCACACAGCGGAAGGATATTCAACAAAATATATTCGCCTCTATACATAGACATTTACATATAACAGACGATACACACAAGCAACATTCTAGTCTTCGTCTGTAGCACAGCTTTGTTAACGTCATCATCGAAACGTTTGATAATCTCTTGATACCTCACAGAGGTAGTTTTTTAAAAAAAATAATACCATAAATATAGGTGATCAGGCCTCTCCACATCTTCCCCTTATTTATTGTAAATAAAATTGCAGTCATTCTTGAGATACATAGTGCAAAAACTCTTCGATTGTTCCTGTCTTCAAGAACTCTGGCGACCCCTCTGACTCTTCTAACTATCGTCCTATCAGTCTCCTACCCCTCTTCGGCAAAGTCTTCGAAACCCTAATCATTACCGAAGTCGTTAACCGCCTTACATCCCATGATCTGCTCTCAGACAAGCAATATGGCTTCCGCTTTGCCCGATCTACAGCTGATGTGCTTACGGCCATCACTGAAACTGTCTACCAAGCTCTTCAAAATAACGGGGAAGCTCGTGCTGTGGCCCTAGACATCTCGAAAGCGTTTGATAGGGTTTGGCATGCCGACCTTCTTCGCAAGCTCCAGGGTTATGGCATTACGGGTCGATTGTTTGACCTAATACAATCATTCCTGTCAAACCGTGAATTGAAGGACGTTCTCAACGGATTCTCCTCCAGTTCCTATTCCACGAACGCAGGTGTTCCTCAAGACTCCATCCTAGGCCCCACTCTATTCCTTATCTACATAAATGACCTTCCTGACGCCATTAATTCTCAAGTTGGCATCTACACGGATGACACCACAATTTATTCCTGCCTCAAAAACAAATCTAGCGTCACTGATAAAAATAACCTGGCCGTGCGTCTCGAAAAGGACCTCCAATCGGTTGTGAACTGGAGCAGGAATTGGCTGGTCAACTTTAATGCTTCAAAAACAAAACTGCTCTCTATTAATCACCACAGAGATACTTCCATAACCCCCATTAGAATGTCTGACGCTCAACTTCCAGAGAGCACTTCTCTGCGGCTGCTCGGTCTCATGTTGACTGCTGACCTGAGATGGAACAAATACATTGAGTTAATTGCTTCGTCCACCGCAAGGAAATTTGGCTCCCTGTGCCACGCCAGAAAATTTTTCTCCGCGGAATCGATCCTCCAGATCTACAAATCAACAATTCGCCCTTGTATAGAGTATTGCTGCCATATCTGGTCTGGAGCCCCTTCTGTTTGCCTCTGGGTTCTTGATAGGCTCCAGAGGCGGATATGCAATATAATTGGCCCTGCTCTGGCATCTCGTCTACAGTCACTTTCTCACAGACGTGCCGTCGCCTCTCTCTCTCTCTCTCTCTCTCTCTCTCTCTGTTTTACAAATACTTTCATGGCAATTGCTCCGAGGAGCTGCATTCGCTGGTTCCCAGAGTTCATGAGTTCAAGCGCCCTACGAGGCTGGCATCCCGCTCTCACCCTTTAACTGTCGAAATTCCTAAATGTAACCGTCTTTTCTACTCCAATAGCTTCATGTCTCGCACCTCTTGACTGTGGAACTCCCTTCCCTATTTCAGTTTCCCTGAGAGCTATAATCTTCAGCTATTCAAATGTAATGTCAATCGACATCTCCAGTTGCCTTGATCTATCCACTACCCTTCTCCTCATCCTTTCTTCTATCACTCCTATCTGATCTTGCTCCAAATTTTCTTTAACCCCATGCGTCCTAGTGGCTTCTCGCCTTGCTTTGGGTGAAACGCTTAAAAACTTTCTGTTACCTACACTATATTTTGGAAATGTTTACTTCTCTTAAACTGGTTACTATTCAAGGCTAGAAAGTTCAATCTATCTTGCTATTTAACTTTCTAATAGATGTCTTCATTACTTTTCCAAGAACATTTCTTTTTTTTAGAAACCTATATCCTCTCATGACTTAGACGAATATGATTCTCAGTTAGTTTCTTGCCTGTAGATTGCCAAGCTTCATTGGGTTGGACATTAAGGTGGTTTCTCGTTGGCATATGAACGGCTTGTAATTCTCTGATTTTGAGTGGATGCGACACTAGAATACAGAAAACAGTATATTCTGCTATTTACTCATGTTTTATAATTAAATGTTTTGTCCCTTCAAGACGTTAGCGATCATTACTCCCACTGACGTCTTTTCTTTAACATCTGAATTAACATGATTTCTTGGAATGGCTAATGAAGTGGCTTCTTGTTGTCTTCACACCGATTTGTAATACAGAGTTTTTTTTTTACTTTGACTACCACGAAGGACTAGACAGCCCAGTCTACTCTGCAATTTAACCCATAGAGTGGAGAATAGAGGGATTTATGCTTTTTACAAGGGCATTTTTGTAAAAGTAAACGTAACAGGTAAAACTTTGAATTTGACCTCAGCTCATCGCTTCTACTTTCTGTCCTGATATCGGTTACACAGCTACATATTCGTCTCTTATAAGCAACCGGACGCTTATACAGTAGGTAGGTCCCGAGCCTGTTTACATCAATGTCGGATGGTTGCATTCAGACGAAACTAATCTGAATAAATTTATTTAGGATAATCAAATCAGTTTTCTCAGAAATTAACGTATTTTTCCAGATGAGGATGTGCTGATGGTGCAAAGAATGATGGCTTGGAATGAGAAATCGAAGAGCCGATATCGAGTGGAGTTGGTTACATTCACTTACGCGTAAATGCCCTTTGGAAAGAAATGAATACTTCTCCCTCCAGTTTTGGGTTAAAGAGCAAGGCAGACTAGATTCTCTAGTCGTTATAGACATCCATCCCAGAGATGGATGTCTATAATTTAATTTTATTTTTCCTTTTAAAAGCCAACTTCTTGATTCACATAATCATGAAGGAAAATAAGGCCATGATAAATTTACTCTTTTTAGCTGCGTGGTAAAGCACCCCGGATCAAATGGGGATTTCTCATATATATATATATATATATATATATATATATATATATATATATATATATATATATATATATATATATATATATATATATATATAAGGTATGCTATGCTTATGGGTAAAAGTGTTCAATACCAGAGATATGTAAATATAAATGTGAATTTAAAGGCCAATAGCAAACAGTCTATTTCTTGCTTCATTGCAGGTTCAGGACATCGATAGTCCCTGAAAATTACGTTGAAGTATGAAGCAGACTGTCGCGGCCTTCAGTTAACCTCAGTGACCTCAGACAATCTCCTTACAGATGAAGAAGACACTTGACGCGATAGTAATATTGTTCTACAGAAAAATGATGAGAATATAATGGACTTGATATGTGAGCAAATACGAAATTCTACAGAAAATGGAGACAAAAAGGTCACATATACTGAACATCAGGAAGAGACAGCTGGAATTTTTAGAGCACATAATGAAGAAAGTGAGCTTGAAAAAAATTCATATTCATAGGCCAGTTTAACGTCAAGAGGAATAGAGAATGACAACGCATGATCTACCTAACGAGCTTGTAAAAGAAGTTGAATGGCGGAAAAAAGAGCTTCAAAGGATAGAAATTGTTGAAGCTATGAAGGGACACGTCACATAGAAAAAATAGGGTATATTTGCACAAACGTAAGCACCTACATAATATATATATATATATATATATATATATATATATATATATATATATATATATATATATATATATATATATATGTATGTATTATTGAGACATCGAATAATTTAGGCAAGATTTGTCTACTTATTTTCAATTGGATCCTTTTATATTCACGGACAAGATTTTTGATGTTATTATTAAAGGAAGAGAGAATATTACCTTGTTGATACACAGTATTTATTTCGAGAACTTATGACATAATGCCATTATCAGGTGTTTTTTTTTTACTCTTGTAAAAAAAACAACAACCTTATAATGGCAAATGTAGTAATGGTTATCATTTTAAAAGACAATATAGTTGTATTCATCTAAAAGTTTTTTGGGGGTTTTTTTTGCTAGTGAAGTGAAGAATGTTGATTTTAGCTTCAGAGGAGGGACTTAAGTTATAAGTCTTAGAAAAATAAATGTTAAGAACAATTGGTTAAAACATCGATATTTTAAATTACTGTACGTTGTAAAAGACTTCTGCAGTATTCATAATTAATTTTATTAAGATTTTTGCTTTCAGATTTTAATATAGATAGCTTCAAGAATTTTTAGTTTATGTTTATTATTTTCTTAAAAAAGTATAAATTTATTTTCAACAAGAATTTTCTGAATTGCTGTTGTAAATGTTAAGAAATATTGGACACATCATTCAAGCAGCCGGGACACCGGGACAACGTCTCAGCTGCTGAGTTTATATATATATATATATATATATATATATATATATATATATATATATATATATATATATATATATATATATTATGAAATGGACAAAATCCGACAATTATTTTAAGACATTTTATGTTTACCATTCTTTTTATAGATACAAATATTTAAGTAAATGCTCTGTTTTATAATAAACATATATAAATATATATTTTTATAATAAATATATATAAATATATATGTTTTATAATAAACATATATATATATATATATATATATATATATATATTATATTGAACCATAAAAAATATTAAAAGATTAAAATCTTCAGACACACTGGGGTGTAGATTAATATTCTTTCGTTTTTTTTTTATTATTATTTCATTTAGATTCCTCGACTAGTTTCGCCCAACATGGCCATCATCGGGAGGAGAAATATTTCTGCTTGTTGATAGCAGTAAACTACAGAAATGAATGTCTTGCTGGATAAAATGAACTTTTGTCTGTAGTTTTCATTTGTTTTTTTTTTATCTTTTAACATATATATATATATATATATATATATATATATATATATATATATATATATATATATATATGTGTGTGTGTGTGTGTGTGTGTGCGTGTGTGTGTGTGCGTGTGTGTGTGTGCGTGTGTGGGGGGGGTGTTCGTGGGATATTTGTGTGTGGGGTGCGTGATCTATTTCATACGGTAAAAGCTACGCATTTTTCAAAAGGTATTCATCCAAAATCTCACTGCTGTGTCATATTTTGATGTTTGTACTAGATTGACATCTAAGCACACTTGTTTGACACAATAATCTCCTGACGATCCCAGAATTAAACATTAAATTTTGATTTAATGTCAGTGTAATACAAAAGAGGGATTAAGAATCAGCTTAATGTTATCGGTTATTCTTAAATGTTCCTTGCCAGATAATAGGTCATTGTGATATGGTGAAAAAATGCGTTATACCTATTGTTTAAAATTTGCTATATTCATACGGTGCCCATTATCGTTGATAGAGCGTTTAGAGATAAAGATTGTATGGACATAGGAAAAAAAACGTAGAAAGAAAAAGTGTATGCCGATCTACCAAGAGAATGAATCTTTTTCATTCGATTTTTATTATAATAATTTTTTATAGTAATTGCTTTTTTTTTTTTACTCGAAGCAAGGCCGGAGTGCCACTAGTACGCTGGCGGTTACAGAGAGTGAAAATGAGAGAAATGGGTATGAGTGGGGGCTGGTGGAAAAGATAAAAAAATGAACGGGGTTCAAGACAACAGAAAACGAAGATTTAAGTCGTAACTTTCAGGGGAGCAAGTAAGAGGAAGGAAGTTCCGCTGTTGGAAAAGAAACTGTTGATGTAGGCGTGACGATATTCAGTCACCCCTCCACGTGGGTGTCATGTGGCACAAGGCCTTTTTAACGTGGGCATTCCAAGCCAGTGGTCTTGGCCAAAAATATGCCCATTGAACTCGTATAAACGGATTCAGGACAGGTTTTGATGTAGGCGTGACGGTTACATTTAACTATTTGAACAGTAAAAGTGTAGAACTTAGATGCCAATCTAGTAGCTCACTTAAATTCATGTCATCAGGAAACCAAGGAAAAAGCTCGCCAGAGTAGTTGCCATGAAGATATTTGTAAAACAGACAGAGGGAAGCCACATCAGATGTGTAAAAAAGTGACTGAAGTCGAGATGCCATGTCAGAATAGATTACATTGTAGATCCTTCTTTGGATTTTGTCGACCTCGTGATGAACAGCAGAGGCACCAGAACAAATATAGCAACATTATTAAATGCACGGACGAAAGGTAGATTTGTAGATGTGTAAGATGCACTTGTAGATGCACTTGTAGATGCACTTGTAGATGCAGTAGATGCAGCTATTGTTTCAATGTTTTTTGTTCTACTTCAAATCAGCCAATACGTAAGGTCAAGAAAGCGCAATAAGTCGCTCTACTTGAGTCGAGTATTATACATGGTGATAGCCGACAGAGAAGTTTCTATTTGGTGCTTATATGAGAGCAGTTTAGTTTTGGAGGCATTAAAATTTACAAATTTATCAGAGAAATTTTCATAGAAAATATGCGTCCTCCGACATTCAGGCCGGTAAATGTTGTTAATACTGTTTATTATAAACAGAGCATTTACTTAAATAATATTCTATAAAAAGAACGTATAAACATAAAAAATGTCTTAAAATAATTGTCCGGCTTCGTCCATTTCATATAGTGTGACGTCATTTGTTTACATTTGGATACGCATCGAGCAGATATGAATGTACGAGAGAAAACCACGGAGAATTGTGGTTTAAAAACAGTAAAATCTACCTTGCTAACCGAAATGCTCCTCTGTGGCTTAAACGGTATAAGCATGTCAGGCTATATGACGGTTCCATATAGGAAACAGGTTCCTGTCGGAATTAGACATTCAGGCCGGTAAATGTTGTTAATACTGTTTATTATAAACAGTGCATTTACTTAAATATTTGTATCTGTAAAAAGAACGTATAAACATAAAAAATGTCTTAATATATATATATATATATATATATATATATATATATATATATATATATATATATATATATATATATATATATATATTTTTTTTTTTTTTTTTTCAGCACATTTAGTTGAATGATCTGATCATACTATGTCTATTTATCTATAATATAATTAATGTAATTGGTAGTTGAGATTTTTTTGTAAACACGCATGAACCGAGCGCGTAAATGTGTGTTTAAAAAAATTATAATTATCAGTTTCATTAATTTTCTGTTTTAGTAATTCAGCCTTGATGATGATCTCGGGTGAGATTGAAAGTACTCGGGAATAAAAAAAGAAAAGAAAAGAAGAGAATAAAAAAATAATTAAGAAATCTATAAGAGAATTCGAGAGGATCAAAATAAAAATAAATAGATATAATATGTCTAGATTAGTCAACAAAAATGAATGAATGAAAATATAATATAATAATAATAATAATAATAAAAAATAATAATAATAATAATAAATAATAATAATAATAAATAAGAAACAATAGACCATCTAATCTCAGGATGTTCTATACAAATGAATAAAAAATCGTCACGAAATAGGCAATACTTAACAATGTCAAACACTTTGGAAAATGTGGCAAGCAAACACTAGTCGACAAAATAGAAGATGTTACCATTCTATATTATGAATTGAAAAGAAAAAACTTGCCTACTAATTGATATGGCTTGTCCAGCGGATTGTAACATAGCAACCAAGGAATTTGAAAAACTATCAAAATACAAAGACCTGGAAATTGAAATAGAAAAAAAATGTGGAAATTGAAAACAAGAATAATACCAGTGGTAATAGGTGCACTTGGAATTATAAAAATGGAACAAAACAACACATTGAAAGAATCCCTGGAAACCCCAGCTTAAGAGACATACAGAAAATTGTCTTATTAATACAGCACACACACTAAGGAGAACTTTGTCTAATAAACTTCATCGGAGATAAAAAAAAAAAAAAAATTAATAATAATAGGTCTTTCCGCAGACTTGGTAATCGAATGATGATGATGATGAATAATAATAATAATAATAATAATAATAATAATAATAATAATAATATTAATAATAATAATAATAATAATAATATTAAGAAGAAGAAGAAGAAGAAGAAGAAGAAGAAGAAGAAGAAGAAGAAGAAGATGGTAATCCGTCAGGAATTTCCAAGTGTATATAGATCCAGGGAGACCTCTCTATGATAATATTTAGTTTTCCCTCAGTAATTTTTTATCTATAGCTTTCATGAAATAAATATTATTACCTATGGGATTTTAAGTGTTTGATATTCATATATATATATATATATATATATATATATATATATATATATATATATATATATATATATATATATATATATACTTGCGCCTAGAACACTGTTCGAAATCACATTTTAGTGTCATCTATCAACTATAAGGATATGTTTTAAAGCCTCTTAAGTTGATTGGAAGGTGCAAGTAAACATTATTGATAAACCAACTTTTGTCAGGCCTAAACTCTTGTCTTTCGCTCATATTCTCGCTCTAATACCAAATGACAACAGCGGAAATAATATTCACTAATCGCGTTCTCTGAAATTGTATTATTCACACAAAAAGATGAGATCGTTATCTTGTATAGCCTGGAGTCACAGAAAATTCTTAAATCAACATGAAAATCTTCATTAAATAATCGCGTATTTCAATGACCAAAATAAATTTAAAAAAAAAAAAACAAATCATGTTTTTTGGTTTTGTTTAATATAGCAAACTGACAATTTAAAGTTTAAATCTCTGTGAGGAGGAAGTCTTTCGCTTAGCGTGTAATTTCGCCAATTGTTGATATTTGGGAGCGACTCTTTTTAGATTCTAGAGTCTAAATTATGACGGACCTCATGAAGGTAAGAAGACATAGATATATTTAATATTCGACGGCACTCAATCCTACTAAAATCTACTAGCAGTGAAAGTAATATCTGTCATATTTCTTAGTAGCACTATCTATCTATCTATCTATCTATCTATCTATCTATCATATGACTGCTCATATTTATCACTCATATAAGACAGCTAATATATATCTATTTATCTATCTTATAACTGCTCATATCTATCTATCTATCTATCTATCTATCTATCTATCTATCTATCTATCTATCTATCTATCTTATAACTGCTCATATCTATCTATCTTATAACTGCTCATATCTATCTATCTATCTATCTATCTATCTATCTATCTATCTATCTATCTATCTATCATATGACTGCTCATATTTATCACTCATATAAGACAGCTAATATCTATCTATCTAATAACTGCTCATATCTATCTATCTATCTATCTATCTATCTATCTATCTATCTATCTATCTATCTATCTATTTATCACTCATCTATCTATCTATCTCTATCTTATCTATCTATCTATATCTATCTATCTATCTATCATCTATCTATCTATCTTATAACTGCTCATATCTATCTAATAACTGCTCATATCTATCTATCTAGCTAGCTAGCTAGCTAGCTGTATGTATGTATGTATGTATGTATGTATGTATGTATGTATGTACTTACATTTGTATCGAAAATTTTAGATCAGTTTGTCTTTTTGAGTCAATGTATTCAAAGTTCAGAGTGTGGGATTGGCCGTGTGCAAAGGCCTTCCTCACTTAAAGAATCCTCATACACGGTTATCGTTTGATTTCTTTTAACATCTTGAAGATTAACGCTCGTTTTACCAGTAGAGAGTCCGTACCGCATCATTTTCCATGGAGTGATCATGTTGTCAGTATAAAAGACGAAAGGATTCATAAATAGTTTTTATTGGGTGAGTTGGCCGAATTAAAAAAAAACAGCGCACAAACCGAAATTGATATACAAAGACTCCATCAAAAACACTTCAAACCGTCAATGCCTTCCATTATAAATTATCTAGAGTTTAATTCATTGTCGTCTTATAAGGCTGAGCAGTTTTCAATAAACTCAACAAAATCCATTCCTTAATTGAATTTCCCCACCTCAGGGATAAGATTTTTGATATATCTATATGGACCCGGAAGTTTCCAGTCTTGTCAAAAGCCTTGACTCTCTGAAATCTACTAGTTCAGATAAAATTCCTGTAGTTGTCCCCGAGAACCATGTCTCAAAGTTCTATCTAATCTTGACCATGCTGTTTAATCGAGATGTTTCCTATGCCCATTAAATGTCTCTACTATGTGTCCGGTGTACAAGAACGCAGGTGAAGGCTCATCCTGCCAAACTATCGTTTCATCATCCTCATTATTGTCAAATTGTTGAATCTATCATCAACAAGAAAGTTGTTGAATACCTCATGAAAAGCAATTAAACGAACTTCTGAGTGACGTATGCTTTTCACTCTTGTAGTTCCACTGCCGATATCTTGAATATCATCACACACAGAATCAGTAAAGCGTTTGATAATTAAAAAAAAAATCTTCTCGAGAGTGATCACCCAAGATGTCTGGAAGGCTTTTGAAGGCAGAGGGGATTAATGCACAAAATTGAAAGCTATAGACTCTCTGTTATCAAGTTTTTCCAGACAGTTTGATCTATAAATATTAAGGACCAGTCCTCTAAGGACTGTGGAGTAATGGATAGCGGCTCGGATTGAGGAATCTGAGAGCCGAGTTCGAATTCCGATCAAATCTATTACCTTCACTTACGTGCTAATACCATTGAGAAAGGTATGAATCCTCTTCTTCGCCCCAGACAGGCCGGGTTCTATAGCCTTGGATGGCAACTGGTCTACCAAAGAAAGAAATGGCAACCTACTGCGGGAAAAATCTGCCTCGTCACTCATGTATCAAAAGATACATGATCGCCTAAGCGTGTATCACGCATGGCACATAACTGACTGAGCTGTAAGACAAATGTGATGAATCCTGGCGTATATCAAAGCTAGGTCGTACCTTCTTTCCGCATTATATTAACGATCTACATCAGAACGTTCTCAGATCTTTTTTAAGTATATATGCAGATGGTTCTGAAATGTATTGGTGTACCTCCAAATATCGAGATGACCAATGCCTGGCATCTGATACCTCATCCTACCTAACTCTCACATCTCACTGGCGGAAAGACTGGCTGGTATCATTCGACACGTCCAAAACAAAACTAGTAATATTTTATCCGGACCGAGAATAACGACAATCCTTATGTGTGGCCATAGCCTCAAAGAGGCTCCTTGCCTCAAAGAGGCTCCTTGCCTCAAACATCTACTATCTCTAAAGCTTAAACGAAACGCGTATATTACGCATATTCGTTGCCATTAGAAAACTTGCTGGAAGAATGGTAGATTACTTCTATAACTCTATGCTCTCTTTTTACAAGAATGGATTGCTGCTGCCATATTTGGGTAGTTACTGCTCAGTCCTTACTTTCAAGTCTCGACAATGTTCCAAAACATTTACACAACCTTGCGGCGGATGAATTATTCTCCAAACACCAACCCTTTTATCATAGACTAATCATTGTTAGCCTCTCATTAATCTATCGCTATTAATCTTGTAGAAGTTCAGACAAGTTACTTTCCTTAGTTCCACCAGCATGGGATTTCACTGTTTAAAACCACTATGCCATGTTCACGGTAGCAAATGATCCCCATTCATTTCGTGTTACTTCGATAAGGAGTAAGTTATACTTAGACAGCTTCTTCCCAAAACTGCTTCTTTGTGAAACAAACTCCCGAGGGGGTGCTTCTCTGAAAAATACAATCTTGGTTTCTTCCAGTTTAGAGTCAATCAATATATATCATACACGTTCTCAAAACATACACTTCTTTCTTTCTCCTTTTGTTTCCCTAAAGAAAAATCTCAGTTTGTAACTCTCTGCATCGACTGGCTGGATGGCCTTAATTTAGGTGAATTAAGAGTAAAAAAGATGCAGAATCAATGTGGGAAACATAGTTTATGCTGGAGGAATTTAAAACTTAAGAGAGATAAAAAAAATACGATTAAAAGGGTGTTGATGTTAATTTCTCTGAGAATGCTGATACAAAATTTGACATAAGGAATGTGTATGAACACTTCTGCCTAAGTAAGGCAATCACCAACGACATCACACATTGTAAATTCATAAAAATATTAATCCAACGAGTACTGAACGAGGCAGGCAACTTTGCCACATGTAATATGAAAAAAAACTTTTTTCTTGCCCTTGATAAGTCAAAATTGAGATGAGTTAGAGTTAATGCAAATATCGTACATCTACAAACCCATACACGATACACTACAATGAGAGCTGTTGTAATTTATAGCTGGACTGGTTAGATGTAGACATAAATTCTGCCCTAACAGTTTCTTCTCTTGCGATTCTTGCTTTTAGAGCTCCATTTCGGCTCTATGTTTTGCAGTTAACTTTAATCTGCAAAAATTTAAATGTCAATCGCTATCTACAGTCCACCTGTTTATTCTTTTCTCTTACTGCTCATCATTAATTTTCCTGTTTGTAATTCTTCCACACCCTGTGACCCCCTGTGTTTTATTGGCATTGCTGCCTTGATTTCGATTAAAAAAAAAATCTTACAAGGTATTATCTAAAATAAACACCGGAGAAAAATTCAATTAGATTACGTGGGCACCACGACCAAAGATAAAAATTATATCTTAAGAAAACATAGAAATTGTGAAGATCTTGTCAACAATAAACAAAGAAGCCCTTGTCGGAAAAAAAAAAAAAAAAAAAAAAAGATTTTTTAAAAAGCAAATGAACAAATATTGAATGATAAGCTCAGAGAAAGATAACTTTCTGGTTTGTTAAAGAAATGTCTATGAAACTATTTAAAGTCTATCTCTGATGGATATACGCAGAAACACACACACATACGCAGAAACACACGCAGAAAACTACACATACATACATACATACATACATGCTTATACACAGGTTACGGTCACGTCAGGTTGAAACATCAGTTCCTGTAAGATCACAAATGGTAAGCATCTCGAACCTAGAAGAATGATCGCTTTGGAAAACGAGGTACTGTAAGCTTGTGTTAGTGGTGTAATGGATAATGGCACGGAATTGTATATCGGAGAGAGAAGTTCTAATTCCCGTTGGATTCGTTATTTTCACTTACATATAAATCCACCTCTTCTTCACCTATCTATTGTTTAATTAGGAAGACATATGACTAAACCATTGCTATGTAAAAAAATAATAATAATAAATTCTTACAGCCAAAAAATATTTTCTGGGTTTACCGATCAAACAGGCAGTGACAGTTTTAATATCAAAAACACACATACAGACAAATTTGTCGGATCTTTTCTCTTAATTCACTCCAAATAATGTAAAGTTACTTATGGCAAATATTAGTTCACCCCAAGAAATTATAAATTTTAACTCAAAGTTTTTTGGTTTTTTGAGGGGGGTTTTTTGGGTTTTTTTTTATTCTTGGCAGTCTTTTGAAATTATAAATCTTAAATCAAAATTCATTTTTCTTGCATCGCAACAACTCAAACCTTCAAATCACGGAGATATTCACACCATTTAAGTGCGGATTATTTACAAGGAATTTTTTACAATTTAAAAAAAAAATATGTTTTTAGTTTGTTTATCGAGGTGAGCGCGAACTTAGACCCAATACTTTTAATAACAACCGTACATTCTATCTTCTTTCAATTGATGTCTAATGCCTTTTACTCACTTTTCTTAAGTAAGCATAAATTCCTCTGATCATTTTTGGTGGATACCAGAGAAGACTGCTTTTTTCACCGAAGTTGGCAACCAGTCTATGTTGTGTGGGAACCTACCACCCCTCTTGAAGATGAACTCGTCTACAAAACAAGGACGTTAACTAGTGGCATGTCAAAAGACAGTGTCGGAGAAGTTCTTGGGCTGACTTCCGACGTCTGTCGAACTCTCTGCGTTAGCAGAGGAACCAGACGAGGCTTTGCCGAAGGGCAAGGTTTCGTCCGGGGAGGTAGACAGGGCCTGAACCCGTCTAATCGGCTTCAAAAGGCTATTTTTTTGGCCGAGCCTACGGGCTCGGAGAAACCCACAATAAAACCGGCCTTGTGCCATATTCGTTTCCCGTGGGTGAAATGATAAATACCGAGAAGTTCTGGGCTGAGTTAGTTATAGACTACTCAGGCGATATCTGTACCAACTTACCAACCGAATAAACCCCATTTTATTGTTACATGTTATTTGGCGTTTGTCTTTATTAACC